GTACGTAGAGTTTTATTTGACGAAAGCCGATTCGTGAAGAGAAAAAGATGGAGAAGAAAGGATTTAGATATGTCAATCCATTAAGTTTAGATCGAGTATCATTTTATTATTTAGATATTTAAAGTGGTAAGTACAAAAGTAAAAATATCTTAATGTTATGTACAACGATGATTTATTATATTATATCGACATTAAACCTTAAATAAAATCGATCGAAATAGTAATCGTTTGTATCGAATGAAAATAATTTCTTATCCGTTTGAAAATGACGATGCGTCAAGTGTATAATAATTAATAATATGAAGAAGAAGAAAAGAAGAAAAAAAAAAAAAAAAAAAAAAAGATTAAAATATTCTCCGCTATTTTATACATAATTAAAGGAATAAAATACTTTAAAGGAATTGTACATGAGATGATTAAAATGTATGAGTACGTTGTATGAAATTTTTATAAAAAGGAGAAACGATTGAAACAATCGAAACGATTTCGAAGTCGATTGTTGCACTGACTCATCCACAAAGCACAAACGACTCCGGCGTACGCTCTTTTCTTCGATAACAATCGACGGAATGGCGTCTCTTCTATCGCGATACGCAAACTCGAACGCACTATCGAAAGCCACCGAGGACGGGAAAAGAATTTTTACCTTGCTTTTTCGCGAACGCACGCGAGCGCGCCTTTATGAAATCTATCTTATCCGACGATATCGGGATCCGATGGAAAAACGATTTCGTGAGCGACGATAACGCGAAAAACGCTCTGGAGATTAATATCGTCGCATTTTCTCGGAAAAACCTCCCGAATCCTTAATAACTGAAAACCGTCGATATTGAAAGCGCGAGATATGAATTTTGCTGCTTGAAGATCCAATAAAGTCTAGGATTAATAGGAAATAGTTTCATATTCTTTTCTTTCCTATAACCTTTCATTTTTCATTCGACGATCATCAATTATATTTCATGATTAACATATTTATCATTAATCATCGAATATAATCATTATATTATAATATAACCCTTTACCTTTTGTAACAAAACATTATGATACGTTAAATAATTATTTTCAATGAATTTAATAAATAACGTTCGGTATTACGCTTATATTTTCGATGATAATTATCATCTCGACTAGGATTCAGTTTAAATTACAAAGTCAATCGACGTTTAAAACGTAATCATATCGAGTTAATTCACATACGTTTCTATGTTATACACATTTGAAATATTTTATACGACAGCTCTCGGATATATATACGATTATGTGTATATTTACGTACGTAAGCGTCTGTGTGTTCCTTTTAAACATATCTTTCTTTTAATAAGAATACAAATGTCAATATATTCGTGAAAAAATGACCTGAAAATCGTATTATCTTTTCGCCTTAATCGTATCGTTTTATTATACTTTGTATATAGATCATACGTAAATACGTATTTGCGTCTATAGAACGAAACATTTCTAAGGCACATTAAAGCTTTATTCTATCGTCTTTCAAATATATTTAGAAATTGAAAAATAGATATTCTATTAAATAAGATTTATTTTATCGTTCTAGATCTTTGATTGATTCGAAACTTCGAATTCGTTCGAAGAATTTTATCGAAAAATTTCATGTAAAAAAAAAAAAAAAAAAAAAAAGAAAGAAAAGAAAAGAAAAGAAAAAAAAATAGAAAAACGAAAGAAAATACACAAATTTTCTCTTACTCGTCTCCGAATAATAAACTTGTTACTCAACAAAGTACTCACCAAATTCAAATATCTTCCAAACAATGTCGTTTATCACCGGAGTTATCCAATAACCGATTGTTATCCACTCTTGGCTGGTAGAATAATCACTCTTATTATTGTCTAAAGTTTCAGACGATCAACAAAAATTCGATCTCAGGACACGCACCAACATCGTTGCGACGCTAGGATTATTATTGAAAAATGTTCACTTGTAGGGATAATTAAAAGGAAAAGAAAAAAAAAAAAAAAAAAAAGGTAACAAATAACAAAAGACGAAATAAGGGAAAAAATGCGAGAAGTTCTTTTTCTTTCTTTTTTTTGGTTTTTTTTTACGAACGATAAGGAAAGAACTTGTTTGAAATCAAGGAAGAGTAAAGTAGCAGAAGATATGAAAGGAGGTCTAACGATCAGGGTAATGCGGTTAGACTTGGATCGTTTAACGAGTCGAGATCAAGGTGATCTTATAGCCGAGCTCGCACACGTTTTCGATTCACCGATATTCGTACGAATCCTTTCGCGATAGGTCGCGAGAGCCTCGATTTACGCGCTATTCCGATTCTTTTTATCGATGCGACGTGCCTGCGTCGTTGCATTCGGACAAGGAGAGAGAGAGAGAAAGAGAGAGAGAGAGAGAGAGAGAGAGAGAGAGAGAGAGAAAGAGAGAGGGAACGTGTATGAGAGAGAGATAGATAGATAGATAGATAGATAGATAGAGAGAGAGAGAGAGAGAGAGACAGAGAGAGAGAGAGAGAGAGAGAGAGAGAGAGAGAGATTCAGATAGGCCGCGAGTTCGCTTCAATGACGCAAACAGAATCTCTTCTCGTTCCGAGCCGACTAGTGTTTCGCGTTTAATACGAATACACAAAAAGAAAAAAAAAAGAAAAAATAACAAAACAAAAGAGAAAAGAGATAGAAAAAAATCGTATTGTTCTTTCGAAATTCAGAAGCGAAGCTCTACCTATCTTAAAAAACGATAAAAATAATCTTTTTCTTTCTTTATTTTTGCTTTATTATTATTATTTTTTTTTTTTTTTTTTTTTTTTTTTTTTTTTTTTTAATGCGATGAAAATGAAAAAAGCACGGCGATGGTCTTTCTCTCTCTCTCTCTCCCTCTCTCTCTCCTCTCTCCTGTCTTTCTCTTTGTCTCACACACATGCAAAAATGTTGAAAGATCGAATCGTTTAATTTGCTTCATGACAAAAAGAATGGCAGCTGTAACAATCGTGAACACTTGTTCTTGTTTTTTTCTTTTTTTCTTTTTCTTTTTCTTTTTCTTTTTCTTTTTTTTTCGTATGATAACGAGATTACGCGCAGGCGCAGTAAGGAGCGGGAATTTTGAGAAAAATGTGTCACTGTCCCTCTCTCTTTCTCTTTCTTTTGCTCTCTCTCTCACTCTCTCTCTTTCTCTTTCTCTCTCTCTCTCTCTTTCTATGTATCTTTGATCTATATATCTTTGTCCCTTTTTCTCACACTCTTCTAGAACTTGCAGAAATCATGTTCACCTTTTTTTTTGACCGTACAATCGAAGAATCGAATATATTTCCAATGTTCACAATAATCACGATTATACATATATAATCATTATTATACATATATAATCATTATTATACATATATAAGCACGATTATATATATATATATATATGTGTGTGTGTGTGTGTGTGTGTGTGTGTGTGTGTGTGTATATATATATATAGGAAAACGTAACACGGGGAAGAATAAAATTAGAAAATAAAATAAAAAAAGAAGACAAATATAGATTTAGAAAAAGATCGTTCGATCGCACGGAATACGATCTAAAACGTTTCTCGGATCGGTCTTTTCACTCGTCGCACGATCGCGAGGAACGATGTCGCACGCGCGAGCACTCGTCGCACGATGCAGCGGCACCTCCTCCTCTTCCTCCTCCTCCTCCTCTTCCTCCTCCTCCTTCACCACCTCCACCTTCTCCCCTTCCTCCTCTTCGAGCAACGTCGCCACTACCTCCACCACTACCGTCCTTATCCTCCTCCTCTGCCCTTCTCCTCCTCTTCCTCCTTCTTCTTCTCTTCCTCCTTCTCCTCCTCCTCCACCTCTTCTTCGTAGCCGTTCGAACGACGACGTCGAAGCGACGATATTTAGTCTCTATGAAAATGGACGCGTTAAGGCTCGCGCCAACCAAGTGTAAGAGAGAGATAGAGAGAGAGATAGAGAGAGAAAGAGAGAGAGAGACAGAGAGGAAGACAGAGACAGAGAGATAGAGAGAGAGCGGTTTGACGGGCGGGCGGGCGGGGGGAGAGGGAATAGAGGGATAGAGATAGAAACACACAGCCACGTCGAAAGTGCAGTTTAAGTGCTGTTTGCAAAGCCGATCCGGCAGCTTTGCTTAAAGTGTCTTCGTTTCGGTGACTCGGACAACATGTTGTTTCGTACTGCCCGTCTGCACGTATCGTGCATCCAGATAACAGCGTCGATTCACTAGCTCACCTCGTTCTCCTCTACAGGACGATTCAAATTTACCGATCGAATGCAATATAATATAGATCTGAATTTTTCCAACTTAAGAATTATCTTACGAACGTATAAGGCATTTGAAAATGACATACATTAAGACATTAATCACTTAGGAAACTTAATAATAGAACTATATGTCAAAATGACAGGTGTCATATTAGTATTTTCTTTTTTTCTTTTCTTTTTTTCTTTTTTTTTCTTTTTTTTTTTTTTCTTTTTCTTTCTTTCCTTCGTCGCAAAGGAGACAGATATTTATGATAAAAACAAAAAGGAAAAAAGAGCAAAAAAAAAAAAAAATGAAAGAAAAAAATTTCTCATACCAAATTAATTATCTTACATCACACATTTTTTTTTCTTCTTCCTTTTTTTTTTTTCAACCAACAACCCACTTTATCTTTGTCTCGCTTATTAAAACGGATTCTTTGTTCGTTGAGAGGTGCATAATCGGTAATATGCATTTACATATATGGTTTCTGAGATGTTTCGTTTTTTCAAATATATTTAGAAAATGTTATCGATAAGTTAATATCTAACTAACGACTCGCATAACTTCGCGAAGAATCAAAGTCTATTATTACAAGGAATCCATCGAACGAATTGCAGAAAAATTTTTCTAAGAAATATCTTAGATGCGAAACGAGTAGTACTTACTCTTATCTCCGAGTTTCATCGAATCTCCCAATGATCGTTCAAGTAGCTTTGCTTTTTCGAACCCTTCTTGAGATATAAATTTACGATCGTTAATCGTCATCGTCAATTTTTATACTAGAAAACCACAAA